CGTTTCAACAATGTCGATGTCAGAAATGCCAATACGACGGACATGCGATGTTGCTTCGCTTGGACACAACCTGTTATGAAACCTATAAATGAGAGATGAATACTTTCGTGTATCGCCACACGAAAGTCGTATGAATAATTTCTCTTTCTTAATATATATCTTACCATTTTTGTAGCAAAATATGACAACTTTGCTTCAATAGCACTTGCTATTGAATGCATTTTACGAATGATGTTATATTTTTTGTTTCACTCGTTATAATTATTAAAATACTTTCTTTATAGGTTTTCTATATACTTAAAAAATTAGAGAATAGAAACTACAATACGTTGTTATACATGTTGGAATATGCACTGAGAAAAAAATGTTGTTAATTTGACTAAACTTGTTTAGTTGTAGTGATTTGTTTAATGCAAATATTAATATATTTAAATCAAATATACGTGAGTAATATCAAGAAATTCTGAATCCATTTAAATATAATATTTTTTGAATTAACAAATGTTAGCTTGACAGCCCGTGACCGCTGCATTTAGTTGAATCAAATAATATTTCTTTGAATCAACGATTTTTTTTTCTCAGTGTGGTTAATATATTTACTTCATTCATTTTACACAATATTAAAGAGAGGAGATCTTTTACGTAATTTCTTCTTTCTAGTAGAAAGAATAAAAATGTTTACCTGCATGTGTCGTAAATAACTTAAATAAGATCAATTGCGACACATTTTATTTAGTATTCCAAGTACCGATTACACTATCCGCACGTTACTCTTCGCCGTCACACCCGCCACTCCTCGACTTCATCATTTTTCGTGTATGCGTGACTTTTCTTCACGGCTCTCGCGTCCGCGATACGGTAGGCGTGGTGACGACGAGAAGAGGATGCGCGAAAATTGTACTTACTTACGTAAGAGACGCCGCTCTCTCAAGTCGTCCCGTGCGACAGAATTCACCTCTAATTAAAACGCGTCTAGCAAGTCGTACAGGCCCCCGCGGCGTTCACCCTTGCAGTGCCAGCCGCGACTAAGTGTACTACGACGTATTCGTATGGGGTGGCAGTGCGCGAGGGATGCGAGCGCGATGCTTGGCTTCCATGATCCAATAATACCGACTTAATTAGCTAACTGTCTAACTCCGAGCAAGCCTGTTAGCTCATTGATTTCACTCGCCAGACTGCGAGACTGCCATCCAACCATTTCACTATCCCATCCACACCACCCTTGGAAATCCATATTATCTTTCATTCATCGTTATAAGGATCGTTCTAAGTTCTATCGAGAAGCGTCTGGGCTGCATGGATAATCTTTGGTCCTCTCCCCTTTTCTCGTCCTCATCTTTCTCGCAGGCTTTTCAAATTGCTCATCGGGTTGAGATACTTAATAAATTCGCCGCGTGCTTTCCAGCGCTTTCGCTTAATCTTTCGCAGATATCTTAATCTTTATATTCATAGAATATTCACGTGAGAAGAAATAATTGTTTAATACTTAGGTAATATTACATTTATCGTCACCCGAAAAATTAGAATAATACTCTCTGAAATCATAATTTTTTTATTTATTTATATAGCACTTATTGAAAGTAAGAAAATAAGAGAACAATAAATATTATACATTTTTGTCATTACATATATACGCCATAAAATCATTTTTCATTATTTTTTTTTTAATATAAAAGAAAGTTAATATTTATTAGATTATTCTTCTATCACATTAATAATGAAATAAATACAAGTAGTGTAATTTTGTAAAAATAGAAATTTAATAATTCTTACCAGAGAAATGCCTAAAATACTTATTTGTATTTTGAAGAATTATACACAGTTGGAAAGTTTGTGTTAAATGTAACATAAGTTACATGTCCCAAACAGTCCACTTAAATTTTTGTGTTAATTTAACGTAATATGGATGTGTAAATGGTATAACACTGATACCTACTATGTTAAAATATTTCAACCGAAAGGAAATGTAATTCTGGTCGTAATTTGAGGTTAATTATGTGTACAATACGTATGAATATAACTTTTATGTTGAAGTTAAAATAGTAAGATAAAATCAACACTCTTTTTCTGTAAATTTGAACACATTTAATAAATACGTTCAAATTGTGTTACTACATATTTTTTAAATTATTTTAACATTTTAAATTTGTTAATTTCAATTAACATAGCAGGCATATGTTAAATCTACACATGTATATGATGTGTTGATTACTTTACACAAAAATTTTAACAAGGACCTTTTCATAACTATAAAAATTTTCCAACAGTGTACTTTTCGTCGCGTATGAAACGCGTCTATTATGCGTAGCGGAAGCGCATAATTACTACAAGTCGATAATGAAGTAAGTGAAAAAGGAAATAAATAAGACAAATAAGTAAGAGAAACGATTGCGTCGTACGTGCGCACGTTTGCTTTTAGTCTTATTCTTCGGATCTCGATGTACTCTGGAAAAAGATCTCTCAGGGCGGCGCGCGCGCGATTAATGCGCTTTATCGCGGCTTCTTCAGGATCGTCCTGGTCGCTGTCGCCGTCAAAGGGAGCCGCTCGCCGTTCGCGGGACTGAGTGGTTAATGCGGATGCGCGCCTTACCACTCCTTCTTGCTTCGCGAGTGTTTCCTTGGATTTCGACGTTTTATCGCGGATGCGTATAACTGCCACTTTGCTTAATACTCGTTAAGTTAGCAGTTTGTTATTCGCGGGAGCTTATAAAAAAGTTTTATGTCTCTCGGAGCTTATAAAAAAGTAATTAACCTTTTCTTTTGCTGAGGACAAAAATAACTCGATAATCTGTGTAGTTTGTGTCAATCCATGATGTTTGAATATTAAAAGATTTATTGTGAATCTTTTAAGGTTAAGGAATAAATTAAATTATAGAAATATATGGTAATGCAAGAAATTGAGTAATAAAATAATAATAAACTAAAAAATAGGTAATTGAATATATATTATTATTATTATATAGTAATAAAAGATGAAGTTGTATCTATATTGCGGAAATTAATTATCGTGAGTATTCATCTTGGAGCAATTAGCTTGATTCAGTGAGTCATCTATGTGCCGATCACGTACGAGTTACGTGAATCATGGAACTTTTTTGCTCTATTTCGCTCACGCTGATGTTTATTGTGTCTTATATAAAATCAATATGGTCTTTCTTTTTACCTTTTGGGCCATTATTAGATATCTTTTAGTTTGGATACTTACATTGGTTTGCCGCTCTTTTACGCTAGCATTTTTTTTGCGCGGTTCTATCAGTTGTTGTGAAAGACCGATTGCCGGTTTATGAAAAAACTTGTACTGTTCACATTTTTATTTATCAGCGATCAGGATAAAAAAACAATATTTGTACGATATCGACGTATCTATATTGTGATTTGACTTATAGTGACTATATAGTCACGGAATTGAATGGTTAGAAATTTGAATCTATTAGTCAGAATATGATTGGAGCAATTATAAGGATTTTCTGTGCAACACGAAAAGATGGTGTAGTAATTATATTCTTATGCAAAATAATTAACTATTAAAAGCATTGACATAATTATAGATATGAGATATACACATCATCAAGGTAACTGTTTCAATATTTTTTTTACTAATACAAAAAGATTAATTGATTAACCCTAGAGAGGTAATATGAATTTTCTCATACGTGAAAGGCCAAGCGGGGTAATAAATTACCCCAAACTTGTACCGCGTGTATAATGTTACTATTTGTTGTTAGACAACTTTTTAATAGATAATTTTATTTGTTTTTTAATAGGGAAGACGATAGTAGTCATCAATTTGCGGTAGTAAAAAAAAAAACAGTAAAATAATTTTGAAAAACAAGAAAAAGAACCAAAAATTGGACTAAAATGACTATTTTTATAAAAAATGCTGTAATTTTTCATAAAATTCACCAATTTTAAAAATTCCAACGGATTTTGAAAGACGAATAGACAATCTTCAAAGGCATGTAAGCGATTTTTTCGTTTCTTAAAAAAAACATATTTCTTTGAACGTCTGAAGTAGAGGAAATGATGAAAAACTGTCGGATGGGAAAAATCGCAAGAAATGGAAAGTAAAACAGATTCTGTCGATTATTATTTATTTGAAAGGTAGTCAAAAGTTATAAAAGTATATGGAAACAGTAAAATTAACTCCACAAAAACTTTACAAAGTTTTAATCAGTTGCTGTGCAAGAACAGCAAAAATGAAATAATTGACCGAATCTTAAACAATTATATATGAAACAGGGGTAGAATTATCCGGGGAGTGCTATAAAGTGTATAATTTTTTGTTACCGATTTTCACAAAAAATCTGAAATACATTTTACTGTGATAAAAGTCGAACGTAAACGGCCAAAGGGGGTAATACGTTACCCCAAACGATTTTCTTTTTCGGTTTTCACCTGCTGCACGAATCTAACGCACTCGCTGAATGACGGAGATCGACTGCCGGATGATTAAACTGAATTATGGTTAGGGTCTCGGTATGAAAACTAACCTTCCTAAGTCATTTGGGCGTAATTTGAATTTCGCGTGGGGCAACGTATTACCCCACATTACCTTTCTAGGGTTAAAATTCATTGGTAGAGTCAGTCAATAAAAAGGCATGTTTTTTAACATACGCTAACACTCCTTTGTTTTTTTTCCATCACTTTAATAGCATGTCTTTATATGTATGATATTTACATCTAGTAATTAGATGACATCGTGCAGTAAGTGCAGTGTTGATGGCAGTAGTAGTGCGAACGTGTTGTCAGACAAAAGTATGATTAGGAATGACGTGGTAAGACGATTAGCCTTGATTGTTAATTCCGCGGCTTAAGTTAAGTGCGCTTTTTTCCGTCTAAAGATGGAATTGGCATAGATCTTTTCAAGATTCTAATGCGCATTTAGTTGTACCTAATAGTCTTAAAACAAAAGATATTTCGCTGATTCGAAGGCAATCAGAAAGAAGTAACTAAAAATAAAAATGTTACTCGGATTAACTGCCATAATAATTCGACGAGACACCTGAAAATGGATACAATATAGGGTATTGTTTGAAGGAACTCTCTTTATTGTACGCGCATTATTAAATTGTGTACAATCGTGTCCGTCAAACAGGACACGTCTTTCGTCTAATAATACTGTGCTGGAGGTTTTACAGTTAACATAGAAGTTATAAAATTAAATATTAATTAAATAGAGCGTTGTTATAAATAAATTATAAGTTTACTTAGCCTATGGATCATTTTATATTACTCACGCCATTACGGAATAGTTTTTGTTTGCGCAAGATCTCTTCTAATGCGATTGGACCTTTGCGATTGATTCATGTTTCTTCGTTACTCAATCCAATCGTTCGTAGCTGATTGGTAAGTCGAAGTATAATTTCCGTAATCGACGTTTACTAGAACACGATTTATGTCAGTCAGTGTTTCGCGTGACTTTTTGCTACATCAAGAATTACTTACGCATAATCCAAGATTGGACTTTTTGATAACATAGAAATCCCGCATAAAAATGTACTTTCTCCATGAGAATTAAGATAAATTTTCGAAAAAGTGCAATCAATACACTGTTCTATCATAAAGACTATTTTGAAACAGGACGAATATGTTGACAAGTAAAAAATTGCATTGTTCAATTATAATTACAATAATTATCATCGCGTTTAAAGACTCCTTGGTCTTCATAGAAATCGATTTAATTTTGCTAACAAAGATTATTACTTTCCTAGTACATTCGCAGAGATTCGCAGAGATTCGTGGTTAGCAGATAAGTACTCCGATATCGTAATAGTCCAGGAGAAATTTGTGCCTGATAATCCTGGTTCCAATAAGAATCGTATTATTAATCTTCCTTATGTGTCTCTTGATCGATTTTTGTGACCAAATAGCCTCGTCGTGCGCGCATCTTCGACGTATGTCCGGAGCGAATTTCTTCTCTTATCGAACCAACGATGTGTCACTTTATCTTTCTCGTCAACTCGATCGCGGAAGGGAAGAAAAAAAATTCGCTTTCCGTCAGTCTTAGACTTTTATATTTTGTTTTTCGTTTCCTCATTTCACGTTTCACCTCATTTGCAAACCGTGATCCACTCCTCCACCGTGCAATTCTGACATTGTACGTAGCAGCACCAGTGAAACTTGCATCTGCACCGCTCTGTTCGCCGCTGTCGCACCACGTTGTAGCCTCTGCCGCAACACAGACTAGCGCATCCGTCGCCGCCGGTGCTGGTCTTGTTGCATCTACGACCAGCGGTGCCAGCGATATCGATCGTTGGGTCCCGCTCGCAAAAATTCGGCGATTTCTGGTAGTAGTAGAGCTGTTTGGGAAGATCCCGGAGTTTTCGCTTGCGGCCGCCGCCCCCGCGATGCTTCTTTTGCTTTTGTTTCCGACGCGATCCGCGAATCCTGTTCGACGGTATCACTTCGCCCAGATTGCTCTGCGTCACCAATACGGCGTTCCTGAAACGATCCTTCAGGGTTTTACCGATTACCCGGAAATCCGGGACGATTTTCCAGCAGGTTTTTACTTCACACGACCCGGACATACCGTGGCACTTGCAGCGTATCTGCATATTGTTCGCCAACGCCTGTAATTATGTCGGAATGATTAGTCACACAAAATAAAATCAGGATTAAGAATATGATAGTCGGTCTTTCGCTTTATTTCACGTCACAAATAAAATAACATTAGTTACATAAAATATTAATTATGTAAAATACTTCTTTTTAGATATATAAGTTCAAATTTTTCTAAAAAGATTATTATTTACCGTCATTACGAAAGAAAAATAATGGTTTTAATATCTCATCAAATGAACTTCCCTCAAAATTTCTACATTTTTTTATATAGATCGCTTATTATTCAGAAACTCCACATGTTTGTTGAATAAAATCTAAATCAATTCCAAATTGGTTTAAGAATCTACAAACAGAAACCGCGGTCAACAGCACTCGACTTGAAGAACACTTTGTATATCGATTGTTCTGAGCGACAAAAGTTGCGCTAAAAAGTTCGCTTTCACGTCGGTTGACTTTGTACAAAACGGTCGATCGACTTTTTCATTTGCGCCTGCCACGGTCGAGATCTCTTTTTCGTGCGGGGACCTTCGGTCTAGCGGACAAGGTGGGCTGAATCGAATCCTTCCCTCGCGATTGCGATATCCGCGATGCCGCCGTTGTGACGTCGGCTGAAAAACGCCGGTTCTAACACGCTGTACATACAAACAGGTACGAGTTGTTTCTGACAAGCGGGGTGCGCTGAGCGGTCAAGAGGGTAAGAGAGGCGGAGAGGGGGGCAAGAGGAGGGCCCAGTTTCTTTTAAACAAAGAGGTGTCGCGTACAAAACAGTTAATGAGTCTACGGCTGGGTGGTCCAGCCCGGGGCTTCGTCTTAATAACGTCGAGGCGAGAGAGCGAGCGTGGAGAGGTTCATGAAGGAGAGGAGAAGAATCGGCCTCTCACCTCCTTTTCCTCCCTCTCTCTCTCTCTCTCTCTCTTTCTCTTTTACAATCCGCCTCTCTCCGTTCATCTTTCTCTCTGGCTTCTTTTTCGCTCTTTTATCGCAGCGATGGGAGAGAAGGAAAACGACCGCGCATCGCTAAAAAGTAAAAGTCGGAGGAAAGACAGAACAATGAAGAAAGAACGAAGAGAGGCGAATCGCGCGCAGGATAATTTGAAGCTCTCTCACGGACCCACGCACGACCAGGACGGCGTGCGCGCTACATTATTCGCGGACGAACGCGGCACGCGATTGCGAATTCGCTTCCTCTCTGGGATTCTCCACCGACCGATTTAACGGTACATTTCTTGCGCGCGCCTGCTTTAAGATGGCGCATCGTTTATACACGTGGGATACACGGAGAGACTACTATAAGAAGACGATAATCTCGTTGAAATAACTTATGTTAAAATGTAGCTCAAGCTTTCTCTGTCAGTAGGATCGTTTAATGTTTGCGCACATGTAGCTTATCTATAAAACGACTAACGAGTGGTATATTAAGTGGAATATCGCCAGAAGAAATTTTACAAGAGCGAAAGACATGAATGAAAAGTTAAAGCAACTATCAAAGAACTGAATAGTTGAATAACTAGCAATTTCCTCTAATTTAATTATGTAAGCTGCATTAATCACAGAAGATGCATATACATAAGTGTGTATCTTAATTTCACAAGTAGGTCCTACATATGAGTTGTAAATACATTTAAAATTTTTAAATTTCGTATTTTTTCAAAGCTAAAGATTATGTAAAACTAATTCGTCATACGTTCCTCAAATTAAAATATATTTTATTCACGCCATGCTTTTCTCTCTATATTTTATTCACGCCATGCTTTTCTCTCTAATATATTTTAACATGTGCAATATCGAAATGTAAGATAAAAATATTTAGATTATAAAAAGAAACTGTGAGACGCGTAATATTTCTTCTTTCTCTCTATTTTCTCGTTGATATGAATATGCTTATATCCAGAGTTTAATGTCAAAGTTGCGAAAGTAGTGCTTACCAAACGACCGGCTTGATTGTTGTGAAGATTCACCGTAGACTGTATGTCGCCAGCTTTCTCCCGCGTGTCTAGGAACTGTTTCGAGAACTCCATGCCGTATTCGAGGTTGTGAGAGCAACCACCCCACTTCCATTGGACGTCTCCGGTATTCGTCGACGTTTTATCCCTGTAGCTCGAAGGATCGCAGCTGCAGGGAAGCAAGCGACCCATGCTGCAGGCACGAGCCACGTTATGAGCCACGCCAGCTGCCGAAATCGCGTAGGCGAACGCCGTCTCTCTATAGCCTGTAACAGGATGTGATCGATAGGCGGCCATTGCTTTTTACTCCATTTCCTGTTTTGTCGAAGATGTCAAAAAGCTAATCAATCCTTCTGTGATTTATCCATTGAATTAATATACAATATGTCCTATTTTTAAACTTCTTGTCTTTTTTGGTATATTTTCTAGAAATGTCGAGGTATATGTTTTCATTGTGATTAAATTTTACGACCGCAAATGTACAATAGGTTTATTTAGTTTATCGTACATTATATGTTGCGTTGATCTTTCGATACGAATGGTAGAACTAACGTGGTGATACAATAGAAATCGGGATTATTAGGTACTTGTAAGTAGTTGAGATAGGATGCATCGAGGCATCGGGAAGATACCCGTATCTCAGTTGTCTCCGTTAGCAAATTGCTGATCGTCGTCAATGACACCGACGAACACGACGTGGACAATATACACACAGAGCTGCGATATCGCGTTTGGCCTCTTCTCTCCTCTCGAGGGATAAAAGGCAGAGATCATGAAACAGCGGGACACCGGGGAAGCCGAGTTTCCGTAGAAGGAACTTCGGTAGCGAGTTCGGGACAGAACGAAACGATGGTCCGACAGACAGACAGCCATCAGGCGCAGTTCAGAGGTAGATTATTCAGCCGTCCGTCAAAACAAAGTGCGGCCATCAGCAGCGGCGGCCGGCGGGCATCCACTGTCCGCATGTATAAACGATCTCGCGACGGGGTGCCTGAAGCAATGCGATGCCAAACTCCGTTCTCGCGAGAGAGATCTGCGGACAAATCGCGATTTCTCGCCCGATTCCACGCGGAAATCGCGAAATGTCGCGAGAGATATCTTTTAACTTTAATAGCAACAACATGATAGCTTGGAGATGTTTAACTTTTAATAATAATTCAATTTTTAGTAATAATTTAATAATAGTTCAATTTTCAATAACAAATTTTTAATTATGACATAATTTTTATAATTTTTAACTTTTCGACCTTTTAGTGAAATATTTTGAAATATATATTATGTTATAAGCAGGTGTAAATTCGAGAGATCAAAATAAAACATTATACTATACAAAAATTAGATTGCGCGTATTCTCATAGTGTTTGAAAGTTGGATAACAGTATTTCAAAGAGTTAGTTATTGGTTCACTGTGATAATTAATGTCAAATGCAGTTTTTCTGTGGGCTTTCAAGGTCTCCCAGAATCTCCAAGACATCGTTCAGACTCGATTGACGGACAGCCGTTTGAAACTGTTGTCAACTTATAAATGATACGACGCATACCTGTCTTTGAGCTTGAAATACAAGATAGAATAATTCTTTTTCTTTTTCTCATGCTTACATTATCTTTCTTCATCGCGTTGAAAAATCTATTCGGGACTTATCTGAACAATTTTACAATAGTCATGAAAAATTAGAAAATTAGAAAAGTGAGAAATAGTAATTAAATAAATTGTTCCATTATAATAACCTATAAGATATAAATATCAATGACAACTGTTACTAGATCACGTAACAAAATGGATCCATTTGATCGTTGCACGTCGTAGAAGGCAATCGGACAGCTGGCAGCTGATTACGTCGCTATTCGTTGACCGCATCCGACGATGTTAAAGAGACTTCTCCGTGAATCCTGAAGGTCGTCACGGATCAAAGCGTTTCTTTGAGATTTCCCAAGTCGATAGAAACGTTGGGGATGAGAACCAGAATGGATCCACTGGTTTTTGGCGCGTATATAGATCACGACCCGACGCCGCGACGCCCAGAATGCTAGTCTCGACGCCGAGAAGCGCACGTCGCTCGTCGCGGTGGAATGAGACGGAACGAGAGGGCCCTTTATGTGGTCTTACAGTGGGAGAGATAGTTGGAAGCTCTTTCGCTATATACGGCTATTGGCAGCAACTGTTTTATAATGCAGATAGCTACCGTGCCGCAAGACCGTCGTTGTTTCTCGACAGCGGAGAGGGATGGAGGGAGCGCGTAATAAATCCTCCGCGGGTAGTTGTACGTCTCTCCTCTCACCGGACAGTGGAGAACCCGGAGTGGAAGATAGGGAAGAATCTCGAGGAACGCGCGCAGCGATTTCTGCTCCCTTCTCGTCGCGGCAGCCTTGGTGCGGCACGTAGTGACGAATGGTACGCAGACCTTGCTCGCTTACTCCCGCGTGTCAGGTTCAAATCGCTACTTAGATAACTTAATAGATAGTGCTTGGGGGAGGTCCCCGCGAGGACACACGTGTCCTTTGCGAACAGCTCGTTCGAAGACATATCAAATTAAATAGGGTTCAACGAGTTCGTTCAATTAACGAAGAACTTCTCTTTTTCTTTCCGTTTTATCTTCACTCTAATTTTAACTTGGCTATTGCCAATGTAAATACGATCTAGATTTTAAACGTAAGTAAAATGTCTACAAATATAATAAATATTTTACAATTAAATATTGATATGAAACATTAGTCTTTATTTATTAAGCTTGTTATTGTTGTGCACTTGACAAAATATAAGATAATTAATTAATTGAAAGCCGTTATTACTTTGCTACTGTATAATTCGTTAATATTTCACCAAGACAAGACGATTAATACAAAAATTATTATTCTGTAAATTATTGCATAATTATTAATTGTAAGCTATTAACAATTCCACTTGTCGAAGCCTTTATGTAATTGCATCGCTATTTAGATGATTCATGTTTCCACTAACGTAAATAAACTTTAATCTCGGTTTAACTTACTTTTTATAGTTTTTATCTTCTTCTAATTTTCAGAACTAAGAAAAGATAAAAAGTAAGTTAAGTCAAGATTAAAGCTAATCAACGTTGGTAAAAATAAACATTAATAAAAGTACGCTCGACAGATTCGTGTAAGAATATTAGTGTTCTTTATGCCTCTAAAGTATAAATCAAAATGCAACGAGTTTGTGTAATTAATGAAATCATTTTTCTTCGTTTCGGGTAAGAAGTATTTATTACTTCTGCGAATGCTCGGTGACTTTCTAATTAGTATAGAAGGAATTCTCCTTCTATAGAATCACACACACACACACACACAGAGTCGGTTGGTTTATAGGTAATATCTAGATTGATCTTTATCTTTGTTTTTTATAACGAAAATTTAATGAGTTCCACATTGATCACGTACTTATTTGTATGAAATTCCTCGATATTATAATTTATTGTTCAAAAAGAGTAATCTAAAATTAGTGGTCTTAAAAATATTGAAAGAGCCTTCATTTTGACGTTTTCATATTTATATCTATAAATCCAGTCGTTGTGGAGCATCGTGTCGGTATGGGCAACGCGACAGCCGGTCCGGTCTTCTTGTGTGGGCCGGAGCGGTCGAAGATCGGTTCCGTGTACTTTTCATAATACATTAAGTCGTTTTGCTGAAGTCCGACGAAATCGTGACGATAGGTGAGAGAAGCCGGGATAGGGGGGAAGCCAGGGTAGCGTTGAGAGCAACGAGAGAGAGAGCAAAAGAACCGTGTCTGAGTGACTTGAGCTATGAACGGCTCTTCTTGAGATGCCCGGACCCGAGGCCCAAATTTGACACGGTGGATTTCTCAAATGATCGCAGACCATCTCTCCACCTGGCCATCGATATCTTAAAAAGGGACAGTGGTTGTTAGTCGCGCCTGGATAAGGTACCAAGTCTTCTCGGAAGCTATTGCCTTCTGACTGGAGAACCAAAATCTAATAATGGTAGAACGGTTGTTGCCAATGTTACGGATAATCCGGCGAATCGCGAATCTCTTACCCACGCTTGGCCTCACAGTAAGACGAGGAAGTTCTTGTTGTGTGTGAACACATTTGTGCGACTGACGCAGCTTTGTAGAATTTAATGAAAAACAACGTGTGTCTTCCACGACGTAAAACATGTTACGTATTAAACACGTTGCGACAAAACCGTACAGAATTAACGTGATGGGAACAAAGACGATTTGCTGAGCTATTGCGCGAACCGCGAAAAAGGGAATTACATTCGTAATAAAGAGTAAGCTTCGAAGATCTTGTTAGAATTCTACGATCGGTCGGACGGGCCGCTTTACATAACTCCCGAAAAAGTCGTGGAATCGACACCTTCTCCTGTCTCGCGAGCAAGAAAAGGCGTACACCGATCCACGGAGGTAGATAACGAGGGGCCGGAGATGGGAGAAGCGGGGGCCCCCGGGTCCGCGGACGAGCTTAAGCTTTCAGGTCAGGTGCGCCCGATGTCGCGCTCTCGCGCATTCGTCCGACACGATATATGTTTCCTCTTGCGGCGCACGTACGCGCCACGACGAATTTATATGTCACACCGGAATAGGCCGACCGTGGGGGCAGGGTTCTTCTTATGGAATTGGGACAGGTTTTTGGGGTCTTCTGCCGCGGGTAGGTTACGCACCGTGCGCTTTGATTTAAGGAAACGTCGCCGTCTTGCCTCGCCTCGCTTACGCCGTCCCGTCAACGACGTCGTAAAAGATTCCACTTTGTCCGAGGAACCCGTATGCAGCGATTACACGATGAGAAATCGCCCAAAACTTTTGTTGGTAGATGCGAAATACTACCGTGGAATTTACAGGTTTATATTCGGTTATTTAGCGTGTTCTGTACGATTTACATAGTGTACGTCTCGAATATACCTACGCGTATAAAGGTTATACTTTTTATAGCTGTTATGTTTTCAACAGATGATAATAATATCTATATTTCATATTTTAAAAATAACAAAATGTTTTATTATAACAAGTGTCGTTGATGGTTGAATTTTTAATAGTTTATTCTTTGTCTCTCCATTAATAAGCAAGACAAATTTACATTTGTTTGTAATAATTATTTATTACAGGTACAGAATGGTTTAACTTTTTTTATATACTCTAAAAATTATCTAAGAAATTATACATTGTCTTTGAAATTATACATTGTTTCGAGGTAACTACAGTATTCGCGGGATAAAAACTTTCAGCTGCGCACTATTTTTCACATAATTTTAACAGCCATTTTAGTTTTTTAATGGAGTCTTATATTTCGTTCATTTGTATTTATAGCGCGAACCGAGACGAATTTAATGATCCAGGAAACATTAATACGCCATTAGCGAGCAGGTAGATTATTAATCACGAGATTCAGATCTGATCAGATAATCTCGCTCGTTAAGTATTCTTACAATTAGTATTATACCTCGTTGAAGAAGGACGCTGCTCTGTTGAGTTCTGCTGCTGGGTGTGAGAGACGAGCAGTTCCACCTGTGCCACGTAAACTGATGTTGACACTCGGATATGGCCAGTTGCAGTCCCTTCATCGCGGCTACGGTAACATCGGGATTTCTGTGGCAAAGCTCGCGTTGCTCTTTCGTCAATCCTGGAATGCCGTTGCAGATGACAGTGCTGCCACTTACCCAATTGTCCACGGAATTGCTCATTAAGCAAGTTGCGCTGGAAAAAGGTAGCAAAATGATAATAATTGACGCGTGATTCATTTCTTCGATTGCCATAAGCAATTATCGTTAAGATACTAGATCGTAAAATTAGAGCAAGTTTCTTCTTTTTAGTCGAGATTAGATGAGCTGGAAAACATATGACGAAATAAATACTATCTCTTTCCGCTTTTATGCTTAATGCAAAAATCGCAAATTGTGCATAATGTGTCTACGTTATTTTAAAGTTATCTATTTAAAAACATAATTAATTTTGGATTACGCGCGAAATTAATTTCAGTTTAATCGCAAGTTCTGAATATATATATATATATATATATATATATATATATATATATATATATAGTGAGGCATATAATTTTTCCATTATGAGTTTGATTAATTTGAATAATCTTGAAATAAAGAAAAAATACAACTAAAACTAAAAGGCATTCTTCGTGCTCATGGTATCATGATTTCTTTTCATCGTTCTCTTGATACTCTCACCCTATTTATCTTCCCCTGTTCTCAATTATCGAATTCTCAATCGTGAACATGGACTGTTCATGGATCAGTTATCAATTAAAGAAACGTTATCATATTTTTTTAATCTCTGGCAACTTCGTTCTTCCGACTATCAATTATAAGAATACGAACATGCGTGAAAACGCAATTAACCGCTTCGTGTCTTTCTTGGAATATATCGCGGAAGAAAGTGCTTTGTACGTTGGATCATAAATTATGGTCCAATTTGTCACAGATTTTTGCGAAATCTTCGATCTTAATTTTAATGATTCGTTAATTAAGTTGGAGTTGAATGTAGAGTTTCAATATCGTTAAATCTTGGTGAAAATTATAATATCTTTGTAGAAATTGACCAAAACGAAAGTGTGTGATACTTGATAAGCTACATAAGTATTTACTGTCAGATTAGAACTCGCATCACAATCTTTTCATCGCCGTTACTTCTCTTTTCAGTTGCGAACGTACATATTAGTTTAGCATGTGTCGAGTGTAATTAGTGACGACGTGCGGAAGCAGGGAAGCAGCCGGTCAAGCTCGCCACCTGGTTAAACTCGCGAAACTGATTATCGTTGAGTTCTTTGCTGATAACGGTGTGCAAGCAATTGCACTATGGATAATCATCGGTATTGAGATACTAGAAAATAAATCGATGTTTTATTGTATGATCAGCGTGAATAGAAGATAGACTCATTTCTGAAACGAACTACTCGATTTGATTTTTTTGATTACTTACGGAATTTTATCTTCGCCTGCAAAGAATTTTAAAAAATTATCACGGTTTTTTTAACTGTTTATTATTTCTTTTTAATATCCTATTTGTGTATTACTTAATAGCGATAGCTTTTAGCAAAACTATCCATTTAATTAACGTTTAAATGGACAGCAGTACAGCGATGTTTGTTTTAAGCGCCGATTTCTAAATTTCACACACGGAATGTTAATGGAAATGCTTGTGCGAGAGCATTGAATATTGAGAGGCCGGCTTGCATCTTCGAATCTGTACGGTCCCAACACTAATCGCGGCGGTCTGGAGCACCGGTTTTACGGTCGCGCGCGGCTGCACAGCGGGCACTTTCGCGCACGCGTGCACCGCACGCGAGCGTCCGCTTTCCTTCGGTTTTACGAGGCCGAGGTCAAGAGGTGCGAACGTTCTCAAAGAGCCGATAAAAACCGTTTCTATCTTGTCGTCTGTTTCTGCCATCGCGCGCCCCGTACGAAGGAGAGACGGCAGAGGAGAAAGGTCCGCGCGTTCGGTTCCCTTCCACTCCCCCCCCCCGGTTTACCCTCCGTTCTGTCTTGTTCCCATCCCCCGTTCGGTCGCGATAACGGCATCCATCTCTTGGAAGAGGAGCTCTTAAAGCGCTATCTTAAGCGACGGCTGCTGCCTAATGGTCGCGTATTACGGCGTACCGGGTGTTAATTAATTTCGAGGTGAAAAAAAGGAACGGCAGAAGCCAAACGTGCACATGCGTGCGTGTTCCATACACAGTCTGGGTCGCGTGTATTCGAGAGCGTGCGTCGGTGTCCGTTGAGAGAAAGAGAAAGAAGGGTTGTTTCGTTTGCTCCGTTGTTCGCTGCGAGAGTCGTTTTCTGTTACCACGTGCTCTATCAAAAGGCTAAACAAACCGTTAAAACTTTTTTTACAGCTTTTTTTATTGCCTGTCAGACGTATTTACAGTTAGCAAATAGTAAATCATAAAATAAATTTGTTTTATTAAATTCCATTGGATTAACCTACTGTTATTTCGGGTTGCATTTTTTTTAGATTATCGTTGATTTTTCGAAATTTTTAAGTTTCGGAAACGTAAATATATTTTAAAATTTTTGATAAATTATCATTCTTATAAAAAGAATGACAGTAAAATGTGCATCTTCAATTTTGTAAGTATACTGAAGCAAAGCTTATTACTTTACTATAAAATTAGTCCATTTGCTTATTATGTAATATAATCTGTTGTTAGAATTATTTAAAATGATAAAAATTAAATGCGGCAAATGTGTTGAAATTTTTTCGTAACACGTATAATAGAACAACTGATATCAGTGCAGAATAACTTGGAAACAATTAACGTAGGTCATTAAAACGTGAACATATGGTCAAAGTTTCCTATCAACAATCATTGGGACTCGCAAGATTGGCCCAACAGCGCGAAAAAAATCGCCGTAGTCTTCCTCACGATCATTAATCTGCTCGCAGCGTCTCGGAGCGGTTTATTTTTTCCTCGGAGGGGGTTCTCGGTGGAGTCGTAGGGTCCTGCAGGATGTCATGGGCGGGTGCAAGGCTCTTCGTGGGTCGCTCGGTTATCTGCGGGTACAAATTAGCGGACGAGCTTCTTCTAAAGTAAAAGCTGTGTATAGCACCCGTGTGAACGAAGAAAGAAGAGTAAGACGAAGAAGTCGGCGACAGCGAACTCGGCGGAGGATAGAGGAAGGAGAGGACGAAGGGAGAATGGGCAGTAATAAGAAGAAAAGGTAAAAAAGGCGCGACGCTACGTAGTGTGGGAAAGAAGGACGTAGAGAAGGGGGAGGGGGCGCGGGATTTTAGGGTCGTGGAGGTTATTGAGAGCTCCCATTACCGGTACACCGTTGCACCGCTGCTATCTTTCGCGCTATTGATGATCTACCGAAAGCAGATTAATGATCTTAACTCCTCCAACAAATTACGGAAGACACTGCGTACCTGCGGAGGAAGTTGGATTGTATCAAGGGATTCCTTTCGCTACCTCTCGGCTTTGCCGGCGCTCGAGTATGCGTCTCACTTCGCGAATAAGAAACGAGCCGAGTACGTAAGGCAATTATTCCATCGAATTTCTCAAAGCAATCGTTTCGTTTAAAACTGCAAAACTTTGTTTACTAATCGGTGCAATTATTATAATAGTTTATAGTTATTGCACAGATTTTTAATCTATCGAGAAGATCATCTTTTCGAATACGGCTTTTACATACGTATACGAGGGTCGGTACGAAAGTAATGCCTCCTAATATTTTTCTTTCGATCTGGTGTTATAGAAAATTTTGCGTTTCACTTGTTACTTGAAGTCTCTGATTGCGCTATTTGAGTTGTGATCAGTTACGTGAGTGTGTCACACGAGCAGTTCAAACTGTGTGTGTTTCAAATATACGATGCATAACAGACAAGAGCAGTGATTGAATTTCTTGCTGTGGAAGAAATGAGTCCTATTGAAATCTATTCACATTTTAGAAATGGTGTTATCATGAACATTTCTGAGACGCGAACGGATTTCAATGGCTGCATTCAGCCGAAAAAACAACTCAGTGCAATCAGTGATTTTTTAAAATAACTTTTAAAATTCCTTGCCTTTAATTCTTTCCTGGATCCACGAGTAAAAACCAATCGTAATAAAGAATCTTGTACGCTCCTTGAGCTGATTTCTCCGCTGAACATAGCCATTGGAACTTATTTCTTTTACGGAGAGATAAGAAATTTAATCACTGCTCTTGTTTGGTACGCATATCTAAAATACACACCAGTTTGAACTGCTCGTGTAACACAGTCATGTAACTGATCACAACGTCACTCAACATAATGCAATTAGAGTCTCGTCGAGACCGTGAACGTGTTTATCCTGAAAAAACCTTTTGAAGATTGATTGCTGATGCAATCAACCGCCTTTGTTTCCAAGAACCAACCGTTTTTTATTTATTGGACCAATTTTGTATAAATTAATAATACCGAGTAGAATAATGGCCGATTCTATCCCAGAAGGGAATGTGAGCCAATAAGCTTAAGAAGAAGAAGAAGAAGATAATGCAACTAGAGACTTCAAGTAACAATTCAGTAAAACACACAATTTTTTATTGCGTCAGATTTGAAAGAAAAAAAATAGGAGGCAAATTACTTTCATATCGACCGTGTGTGATAAAAATAAGTGATAAAAATGAGTGATGTCGCTCGTTAGTGAGGCTCTTGTGATAATTCCTTCCACCTGCGTTTATAGATATGAAACAAATTTTAGATGATATTTTTCAAGCGAATAAAACTACAAAAAATTCTACTTGCAGTAAAAGATTGAATACTTTTCTACGAAATCGTCGATTATAATTGTAAAGTGTTAAAAAAAAATTGATAATCGTTTATTTATATACGCACACAGCATCGATTAAATAAATTAAAGATTCTTTATTTTACGAGAAATACCAAGCTCTCGATTAAGAGTTACGTGCATTCAAAGTTGTATTTAAAGGCTAAAGTAATAATTACAACGCATCAGTAAGATTGGTTTATTGCACAAATGATCGACATTGCGCTTTTACCAGCGACCGTTATAGTTTCGCTTCGCTTCGGGTGCTCGATCTCACGGGAATCCGATGGGCAAATCGGAGACGAGATACGCGAGCGCGTGTCTCGCATTTTTGCAATAATCTAAGGGGTCGCAGAAGAATCCAAGATGGCGACAACGCGGAGATGCACGTGTTTTATTTAATCCCTCCCCCTCCCCCTATCGTCCTGCTCGCGGAGATGAGAGAGGAACACGGCACGGAATTTCGCGTCTAATGGGATATACCCAGTGGGAAAAGAGAAGTCGCTTTTTTTCACGATCCGACCCGCGAGAATACCTGCGGTAGATATCGTGGTGCCTCGCTCTTCCCTCGATCTTATGAGAGTAAATCGATTTCGCGGCAAGTACATTGTCGGGAATGCGATAGGCCGCGAATTACGTTCTGCAGATGGTATCTAGCGCGTAAATTATGGGTCTGTAATTTGACGATAAAACTGTATTCTCATCTAGTTCGTCAATTACTTGCGATCTCATAAGGCATTCGCGTTACGATTTGTTCATTTATTAATAAACATTTGGGATTCCGCTATCTTCTCTTCGATAATATGAATTCCTTGAAAATGATATCATTTGAAACCGCGAGTGGCACGCACACACACACACACACACACACACACACACATATGTATAATCGCGAATTATAATATTATTCAAAGTGTCGCATATTTTCTTAGAATGATTTCTTTAATTTTCAATCATATATCTTATCTAAAATTAATATTTGGTCATAATTGATCTTGTAAATTACATTATTTAAATTTAAATTAGTGTCGAGGAAACCGGGGAATATTGAGGGGATATTTCCTTTTTAGAAATATTGTATCATAGATATAATATAAAAAATGGTAAAAATTATTTATTTTGAAAAATAAAAATAAAATATGTTACGCATTTCAAAAACGATTACTGAATTACTGATGTGATATTTTCGAGACAATATCATATTTAATTCTCATACAGTTATCATTTTTTATTCTATAGAAATATATTGTAACAACCTCCATGTAACAACTAGCTCCAGTCTCATCTGAAATAAAACTTTCAATCTTGGAAGCTGTCAATACGTACGTTCACGTTTTACGTTATGTTAATTATCTAATTAACGTGAATTGTGCCTATCGAGTCCTTGTCACTGAAAAAAAAATCTTATTAGATTATAGAAAAATATTTTAAAGTTTAAAGCTGAATCTTCAATGAATTCTATTAGTACTATAAGATTTGACATAGCACATCAAATTCTGTTATCACGTATTTTCTCGTCATGATTTATTCGCGTTACGTGAAAAATGCACGGCGTATATCAGGGAAAGCCGCATGCACGCGTGTCAAGACGTTAATGACGCGCGCGAACCAGTTTATTGACTATTATATCATCAGAACCGTAATTCAATGCCGTCCTGCAAGTCCGGCTCGCATAAGTGCACGTAGATATACACGTGGATCTACTCACACGAGCGAGCCTCACGTCCTGTTCCCGGATGCTAGGCGTAATTATTTACAAGAAGCCGCATGTGGGTCTCTCAGAGAAGAGGCCTATTGAAGCCGTCACCGTTGACGAAGTATCGTTCGTGTGTATATATTTTCGAGAACCTGCGGCGAATCACCGGCGATTATCGGATACGATACTACACGGGACGTCGAACAAACGCGGGGAACGTAGTATCACGAAACTCCGCGATTATAAAATTAATTACTTGGCACTTTTATACGAGCGATACTGGATTTTATGATTATAGCGTTTGTGATTGAAAGCTTTATAAGGTTTACCAAGCGGCAATCTTGTTGTTTATCAACGTAACGACTTCATGATGAGAATCTTGAGTATTGTATAAATTAATGAGAGAAAATATTATTATGATAATGTTATATTTATTAATATAAAATATGCACACCAAGGAGTTCTTAAAAACAAGCAGCGTTTCTCAGATGATAATTTTATCTAAACCTTTGTGCACTTGCCGTTTGACACTTGAGATTACCTACCATTCTTGCAACGATGAGTTGCAGAATTTCTTAATAAATAAACTAAGCAATTTTCTTCAATATTTTGTATGTGCATTTGCACATATCTCTTTCGAAGCCGTATTAAAGCAATATATTTTTCAATTTGCGAGTTTGCATTGTTTGGAGAATCGTCGCCTCACCGGTATACTTTTCGCGAAAAAAAAGATTCGTTCAGGATGATCCTAGTACACAAGGCGTGATTAGTATTATGGAGAGCTATATAATAAAGATCGCAGCGGGATTCATTCTTCGTGATGCGGAGCTTGGTTGGAACGGTCTATTTGCACTTCGTCATTGTGCACCGTCTATGGAACCGTCGATACGACCGCCGGGTCGAAGAAGCACACCCTACTGACGGATTCTTTCCGCAGAGACAGAAAGAAAAAGAGAGAGAGAGAGAGAGAGAGAGAGAGAGAGAGAGAGGGAGAGAGAGAGAGGAGATGCGTCAGAAGTGCAGAAGATGCACCGTGAAAAAAAGAGGGCGAAGAAGCCAGTCGTGCTACCGCGCTCGTAAATTTTTCTCGGCGAGATTAGACACGGCGAGCCCGTTGCCCGGCTGCAGCTTCTTCTCGGTTGTCCTGTGACATTGTCGTGTACTTTCCATCGCGGGGTGGACAACGTGCATTTCGTGAGCGAGTTCGCGATTTGTAGCGCTCCGTCGCAGCGGACGGACAAAGCGGTGCGAGAGTGACGTTTTGACGTCTGCATTATGGTGCATCGCAGCGCATCGGAGTATCGTGTAGATCGAAATACGGGGGGGGGGGGAGAACGGGCTCTCCGGAAGAGTGTTTTCACAGCAACGCTGAAGTGTGAAGTGAGGGGGGAGAAGACGAGGAGAATGAGAGAAGGATACTTCAAGGATTGTAGAGACGTGAATTGTTAGTCAATCACGAAAGGCGGATAAGATGCTTAGGCGAAAACAGATTAGCTATGGTACAGCGAACAACGAACATGTAATGAACACGTAGTTGCATAATTTAAGAGTGGCGTTTAGAATGGCACATACTTCGATAGTTATTTTGCAAATTTGATATGTGCAAGAGACGTCCTGTGCACGATGCTGTATTTTAATCACACAGATAAAATTAGATAAATTATTTTTCAAATTTTATATCCGAAGGCGCACGAAGATATATTACGGCAAGATATTTTTTTATTTAAAAATCGAAGACATCTGCTAAAAACTATTTTTTCTATCTCTATACTAGACATGATAAGATGATTTTTATCACATTGATTTTTATAACGCCGATAGATTTAGTAAATGTATGATACATTACTCTGGTAATTATAATTATAATTAGAACGAACATGATTAAAACACACGAAATTTTTTTTTATACCATTAATTGACAACTTGTAAAAAATATAACTTATATAAAATAACAAATAAAATAAAATAAAATAACTTATATAAAATAACAAATATATAAAATAAAATAACAAATAAAAGAACTGAAATAGAAATGTAAATTTCTAAAAAAAGGGTATGAAACCGAAAAATACTTATACATCATGCTATGATTTTGTTTTCGCCAGCATTGATACGTGTTTTTACAAACATTTTGAAGACATTAGAATCAATTGAGGAGGTTTCCTCAATTATTAGATCATAGAGAAGCTCACCGGCGATGCTCGAGGAGAATCAGCAGCAGAGCGACGGTGGGGCCGATCCTGGTGGCGATCCTGGACGGCGGTCCCTCGTATGCACGTCCTGTACGAGACGGAGGCATCCTGTCATCGCCCCGAGGACGTCTTCTCTTCTTTGCGCGGTTTGCCCACTTTAAAAGAATTGAGTGCGACCCTTCGTCCAGGGTTGCACACCCCTAGCACCCGAACGGAAGGACCCTTTCGTTCGAGATGATGCTGAGGCTGCTCCCGTTCTTTATCTCCCTTTCTCTTTCTCCTCTTTCCTCGCTCTTTCTCCCTCGCTCTCTCCGCGTTCGTCTTTCTCTTTCTCTCTCTCCCTGTACTCTCCGGTCCCTCTTCTACTCTTTTCGCCGCGGTGCCTGTGATCAGCAGCCTGGCACGCGTCGAGAACTCCTCCTCGCCCCGGGCACCGGCGCTTCTCCTTTGACGTTCCGTACGATTCGAGTGCTCCCAGTTTTGCTGCTTCGAGGGTGCGTTTTGAAAACTACTCCGGGACAATAATATTCCGCGGCGATCGGGCGAATCATCGAGCGTATACGTGTCTCGATTCTGTGCTCTCGTAGCAGCTTATTGCGTCGGCTCGCTCGCTCGCTGAATGACGAGGTTCGTTTCTCGACGTAATCACGCTTCGCTATTCTTTGATGAACCACTTACGCGTATGTTTCTATTAGAGTCTCCGTTGCATTTGTCGTCGAGAACAACGTGAAATCTTTGAGGCGACTTTGTTGAATTTTGTTTGATACACTTATCTTTGGAGGAAAAATACTATCGAGGTGAAAAATACCTCCGAGAACGAAAAATCTTAGCGTAACTTAGCGTTCTCCAAGTTTTGTCGAGGTATACGGTGAGGTCACTATCACTACAGTCGTCGTTGCACCGGCTTTATTCTTGTCTTTGGCATTCTCTTCGGCGCTGAATGAGTACGTAAACATAGCTTGCCTTTGGACAATCGCTTCATCCGATTTGCACCCCGAAGTCGTAGATCACGATACCCTTCTCGGCAAAATCTATCCGAAGATCCGGTAACATCGTGTCGTTCTTTCACCCTCCGAATATGTTAATTCCTCCTCTTCTTTTGCTCTCTTTCGTCGGTAATACGAGATCTAGGCAAATCAGTCGATCTTTCGATGTGTTGAGCAGAAGGAGAGAGAGAAGGGCTTGTGATGACTTACTCGATACTTCCGGTGTATGTGCGCTCGCGGCGAAGTGTCAAGCTCAAATAAAAGAAAAGTTGCCCTCTGGATCCTCCTACTCCTCCCACACGCGGACCATCTCTCCCTCCCCTTCCCCGTCTCCCGGCTACAGGTCCTTCTTCCTCTTTCTCTTCAATCACCGCCTCTTCTTCTTCCACCGTGGTTTCCTCTGCCTCTCTCCCTCGTAACCGCGCCTATCTCTCGCTTCGCTCGTGCAAACAGTCAAATAGCAAACTTCCCGCGATCGTCACGCACAGTGCGACGACGGTGACGACAGAGCCGAGGCGAGGCTTTGAGGATTGCGGAAGAGGAAAACGTGGAGGGTCAGATGGGAGGGGAGGAAAAGAAGAGAATCCGTTTTGTGAGAGACTCCAAGGAGTAGAAGTGTTAATGCGTTTGATCGGCTCGCGTTTGCGGGGTGAAAAGATTCACGTACGAGGGAAGGGTACGATCAAAGAGAGGGCCGTTTGTGCGAAAAGCCGCAGATGAGACAGAGGGAAAATAGTAAAGAAGTTTCGCGAGCGTCTGGGTGCACAATGAATTGAGAAACGAGTGTGACGATCGAGTGACGAGTCGCCCGATCGGAGGAACGCAGAGAAGGTCACGCACTTTTCGTTATCCCCGTACTTTTCTCTCTCCTACGTTCGCCGACACCGACACCGCGCTACCGTAGAGCCGGAGAGATAGACAGAATCTGGATGATTCCGCCTCTGTTCAAGACCGACGAGGAGCTGTCAGGGAGATCGCTCTGTCTATGATGAACTCGGTGCGCAGTGCGCGGCTACGGGGGCCCTCCTCGCCCTCCCATAGGGAGAGAAAGGAAAGATAGGGAGTAGTATAGGCACGAAGGAACCAACTACCCTCCCCACCATAGCCACCACCATCCGGACACGACCACCACCACCATCGGCCACCACCCCGAGATTTGGTGCGAGGGACGAGGAGAGACGAACAGAACCACCTAGACAAGGACGACCTGACGATGAGAGGCCGCGATGGAAAGAGAGGAAATAATGGAGGTAGAATGCGCGCGAGAAGGAGGAAGATGGAAAAATGCGTTGACCATAGACCGCACCTGCATTTCTCTTTTCCCCTTTTTCTTCCATTTCTATCTTTTTCTCACTTTCGGTGTGACTTCGTCTTACTCTCTCAACAGATAGTCCGAACAGTTCGAAAATGCTTCCCCTTGAGCTAACAGGTATATTGGCATTCACAGCTTAAATTTTTTTTGCTTAGGATGTTTATCGTAGCGCGAGATATTTATTTTCTCTATTTGGTCTTTTACATAGTTCTACATCCCGATTCATAGTTATAAATACACGACTGTATTGTTGACTATTATTTATTATTTTCTATCATTATCTGCATTTTGTAACATTTTTCATTGGCAAATGGAAGAATCTTTTACTTCAAATTATAAGAAAATTAATTATAGAAAAATAGAAAGACCGCGAATAAAAAAAAGTTTGTTTTTACTTGAGCTGCCCAATTGATTAAACATTATTTTTATATAGTCGGCATCTTTTAATTAGTATTAAATTTTGAATTATTTAGTACATAGTCTATTGCTATTGAATTTTGTTCAATTGTTGAATGGTAGATATGATATTCATTTAAATATTCTCCTTGCATCTTTAGCATCTTTATGATTAATCGAAACGAATGCAATTTCTCGTACATTCGAATGTCTTGACGTGCATATCTTGCTTTATTATCGTACGAACAGACGAATCACTTTCGCGTCTCAAGATACCTTGGCGCGCATTTCCCTACTCCCGAAGGATCTTACCCTCTAGGTCTAGGTCGAAAGGAAGGAAAACAGGCAGGAAGGAAGGAAGGTTGTCTGAGATCACGTGACGGGACAAGTAGGAGGAGCGAAATTCCCCTACCTAACATCACTTGGAGGAGTCAATCGGCATAATTGAGGCTTATCTTCCACCCTTACACAAACTGCCGTCCGCCTACTCTCATCCCCTCTCTTCTTTACATCTTTCCACGGATTCTGACTTGCACAGGGAGTGCAAAGGATGCCATTAATATTATTTCATTGACGATGACCGTTGCTAGCGAGATGAAGAGATGAATATCACCTTTTTGCACGTTATTATCAATTATAAGATAAAATTTTCTAAATTATTCCTTTCCACGCGAAAATGAATGTGAATATCGATATTAGAATGCTAAGAGAGCTCGACAATCTTCATTTTTTCAATATTTCTTCAATTATAGTACGATGTGCTTGTTCCTTCAAGCAAGATAGCTTTTATGTGCATTCATATCTCTAAAATCTATTTCTCATCTACATATACACGCAGCTCCTTTCCACCATTCAAATATAAACAAAAAATGAAACGGACATAGACGGATTTTTGAATCGAAATACCTATGGCATTGATTATCAGGTTGTCTCCTCGCTGGCTCGTTCTCTTTAAAGCCAATTAGCAGTGCATCCAATATAATATCTGCCGTACGAAGATCTCGGTCGGTGTTGCGATCATGAGAGCCGCGTGTAGCGAGGGAGCAGAGCTCCCTGTCTCCACTTTTCCCCTTGCTCCCTTCGGGCTGCCTTCGATTTCTCGTCGACGCGATGTGGAAGTGCAGATTTCATTGACGTGGTCGCTGAGCTGGCAATTAGCCGCAACGACCCCGGCTCGTACACCGCGCTTCGTAGTCACCCCACCGTGCCACGTGGTCGAAGATCAAACGACATCCTGGCACAAAGCGCAGCCAGCTGGATTCTCTCTCGATAATCGGTAGCGACGCCGGTCACATGGACGCCGGTGAATCTGTGGTGGTTCGTTTGGTCACCCTCGCTCGCGACCTTTGACCTACGCTTAATTAGGATCTACATGCAGGCGAAAACAGGTGTGTAATTCGGCAATCGTGTACAATTAGTGGAAACTGTCAGGTCAAATAAATGAAAGGACGAAGACCAATTTTTGATGACAAGAAATAACCGAGAAAGTCAAATTAGTTTAAATATCATTTGTATAACAATAATAAGGCTTGAATAATAATAATAATATGTCTTTATATATATATCATGCTTTATGAAAAAATTATTTAATTGAAATACCAATACGAACAGCTTGATTGAATTAATTTCATGTTATCAGTTATTCAATCTCTTAATAGTTATCGCAGAAACGTAAAAAAAGATGGAACCAAATTTGCCTAATTAGGCTTAGTCTTAATCTCACTCCGGTGCAAGCAGCTCCATGGCTTGTCGCGGGTTTGACCGTAAATGCGAATCGGCGCAACCTTGTTATCGCATGTTCCGAAACTAACGAGCAGCGGTGTCTGTACCTTATGGCGCTCACCGTTATCTCGCATGCCACGGAATTATAGGCAGATCGAGCGGCGATTTATCGACCATTTACCGCGGCGCATACGCCGCTGGACACATGGTTCCTTTTGCCTCGCGGATGAGCCACGTTCCATTCGTTTCGTAGAGGAACACTCATTGCCGGTCTCGATACCTCGTCCCGATAGCATCGTCCATACTTCCAGAGGAACCAACTGGAAGCGCGCTTCTTCTACTCGATCTCGTTTCTCGCCTTCTCTCTCTCTCTCTCTCCCCCCCGTCTCGCTCTTCTAGAGCGTGTATCCTCTGTCATCCTATCAAGGTGCATTACTTATCGAGCTATCGAGTGTCCTGACCGTGATCCTGGCACGCGAGCGCTGATACGATCGGGCCGCTCGATCATCCTATCGCCGCGCAATGCACCGTCGCTCGGCAACCTAATTGGCCGGCTTGAAAAAAAAAGGTACCAAATCCTTCCATGAAGGACAAAATGTAAAAGAAAAAGAGAGGAAGAAGAGATATGGGAGAACGAGAGAGAGAAGATGATGTCGTGCGCGTTACCAATATTTGCATGTAGGATTCTCACAAGATTCTCTCGAGATCTTGTGAGCATCCGGCATTTTGGCCAAGCAGGGATGGTTGTTTAATTAAATGTTCCCGTAAATATTCGCGTACTCACGTATCCGTACGTTATTGCGACGCCGCATTAGCCAGGGACTGATTTACGCCACGGCGAAGGAGGGAGATTACTTTAGGGTTCGCGATTGCCGTATCATGGCCGTAATTTATTGCACGATTCAATGCTAATGACCGTTTTCTCGAACGGCGCGCAATGAAAGAGGTATCCCGCCGCGTCCACTCTCCTATTTTAAACTCGTACGTACGCGAGTAGCTTAAGTTTTTCACTTGAGCTATCTTGGGAAAGAACAAATGTCTCTCGTGATCTGGAATTATAGCCTTAAACAGCGGCATATGGTTTCTAACGAGTATGCGACCTCTCTGTTACGCCCGTGGATGTCTATTTATGGTTATAAATCGCACGACAAAAAATCGAAACATTGTACAGAATTTTTGTTTATATCATTTTACGAGATTATTTGTTAACCTGATGTATATTCAATTTTTTAGCTACAATTAATTTACTCGTAAAATTTGAGTAATGCATATAATATATAATGATTAATTTATAATTATAATTTTCATTATTTTTCTAAGTAAATATTATTTCAAATAAAAACGTACAGGAATTATTCAAGTTATCCATTTGCGATGTACTTAACAATGCATGCAACTTCCGTTGAATGAAACTGCGTACCTTCTAGCACAATAATTGATTGATGCGCGTGCAAAGCGTAGTTTTGTTTTCGCAAGGTAGCCATTATTGTGTCTTCAAAAGGAAGAGGAAGCAAAAGATCGCAAGAACGGGGGACGCGTTAGAATGGCGGTGTGAAAATCGTCAGTAATTGCAGTCGATCGTCTTCGATCTTAATTGAGACATCCGCCCGTTAGCAAGAAGTTAACTACAGGAAGGTAGTGAAGAAACGATAATAGACGCGCTATCGTTTCTTCGCGTAATATCCTACCTACAACAAAAGTCAGGAGCAAAAAGTGGTTTATTTGAATTTTTATGTATTCTGCTTATCCTGTTCCACAAAGGACGAATATCTCGTTACAAAAGCTTTTGTACATGCATTCTCATTTATTTTACATTGCAGAAAAAACTTACCGCGTTGAAAAAAAAGAGTAA